GAATTTTTCAATTCTACTAAAATATTTTATGGGCCAATCACATGTGGCGCAGCCAGCCTCCACCTAACACCACCACCGCCTTGCGCTAACTCCATAATTAAAGACGATGAAGGCCTGCTTCAGCGCTGGAAAGAGCACTCCCATTCACTGCTCAACCGAAAGACCGATGTGGATGTCCTGACTACCCAGCAGGTCCCTCAGCATCCAAAGCTGACCCACCATGGCTGTCCTCCATCCCTGAATGAGGTAGCTACTGCCATCAAACAGATGAAAAATAACATACAGTAGGCTCTCATATTTGGACACCTATTTAAACTGTAAAAAACTCGTGAAATTCAAATCGTCCAAATTTAAATACTGTACGACTTCCTATGGAGAAAATTAATTTGAGTCTGGTACTTTCGATGTTTGGCTAAATTTTGCCTTATTTACCCTACTATTTGGCGAATTACTACCTGTAATAAAGCAACATCCTAATAAACCAACGAAAATAACACAGATAAAGTTAAATAAAAACTAAACACAACACAGAAAAAGGTTTTATGTTCTACAGCTTCAGCTGGTGGGTAGAATTTTTGTTTTAAATTCAGAAACATTAATTAAAATATATATGAACAGTAAATAAATGTTGCTTTCATTTTCTTATGTACAAGATAATGACGATAAGTTACATAGTGCGACTTCATACACGATCTCACTATTTTTCTTTACCATTAATGGTTAGCTACTTTTATTGATCCATTTATTAACATTCAATAACATTACTTAAAATAACCATACTGTATTAATATTTTACATTAATTTTACTACAGCTACAAGCAGGGTCTATTTTCTCGTTTTTTATGAAGAACCTATCAGTCACTGGTTTTGTAAACATTAATCGAAAACAATGCCGTCTTCGTTCTCCCTTAACTCTAGAATTGATATTGTTCACCATGGTCGCCAAACCTGTCAAATTGAAGCCGCAAAATTCGAAATTGTGTAGGTTTATTTTTTGTGTGTCCCAATAAAAAACGTCAAAAAAAAATATGAAATTTGAGAACCTACTGCCTCAGGGTCTGGTGGAATCCAGTCAGTGTATAAAGCAGGAGGACCTTTACCAGCCGTCTCCACTCTCTCCTGAGGAATATATGAAAAGGAGGAAATCCCCAAGCTCTTAAAGATGCCCCATAGTCAATATTTATAAGAAACCAAGGAGACTGGTCAGACTGTGGCACTGCCACTGGATCTAGCTGTCCGTAGCTAGCAAGATTATTGCCCAGTCCTCCTAAACAGATTCTTCCATATGGAAAACTTCCTCCCAGAAACTCAAAGTGGCTTTAGACCATCACGGCACCACTGACATGATCTTTGCTGCCTGCCAGATAAGGAAAAAGTAGAAAACGCCGGACCTGTACATGGCTTTCATCGACCTAACCAATTCTGGTCAACAGGAGCCCTCCGGATATCTCAGCAGTTTTGGTACCACCAAAATTCATCGCCATTGTGAGGCAACTCCATGATGGCATGAATGGCAGGCCTGCACGTTGGCACCCAGTCTGAGTTCTTCCCCATCCAAGCGGGGTAAAACGCATGTGTACTGGCACCAACTCTTTTCCATTTTCTTGGCTGCCTTCCTTACTGCATGCAGTACCAATTTAGCCAGCGGGTGGACATCGAGAATCGAATGAAGGTCTTTTTCAACATAAACAACCTAGTATGTCGGCAGCTTCCATTACTGTATGCAGGATGACCCTCACTCTTGTTGCTCACACTGAAAGCAACCTTCAGGAAACCTGAATACCTACTCAAATGCAAGCACACCTCGGCCTTGAGGTGAATGCTAAGTCAGATTCTTTGTTCCCTAGTTCAGCCACACATCCACCATCCATCCAGCTTAATAGTACTACCTCTAATATACCCCACTTTCAGTATCTCGGCTCCTTCCTGTCCGATGAAAGATTCACAGAGGTCTCAAGCCTTTGGCAGACTCTATAGCTTGTCTTCAGCTGTAGGGAGCTAAATTATCTACAAAGGACCGTTATATCAAGCAGTGGTCCTCCCCAACCTGCTATATGGCAGTGAGACATGAGTTACATACAGGAGGCACCTCAAGGCACATGAAAACTTTCACCAACATAGTCTACTTTCCATCCACCGAGTTCGCTGGGAAGACAAGGAAACAAATGCCATTCTGCTGACACCAACTGTAGGAGCATCAAGGCTACCATTATCCATGAACAATCTGCGTTCGACATTATGTGACCCACATGGCTGACAGTGAGATCGTCGCAGTTACTTATACAGTCACCCAATTTACAGTAAACGTTATGCTGGCAACTGAAAAGGTATAAGGATAGTCTTAAGACAAACCTGAAAAGTGCCAAATCGACCCCCCACCTGAGACGATTATCCACACCGTATTGCTCTGGAGAGCACACAAGTCAATACTTTGAGTTAGCCCGACTGCATACCGAAAGGTAGCCAACGCCAGAAAGACTTCCTCCTGACTAGATGTAGCCCTCCACATATAATCCATTCTTGTCCCAGACGCCCTTTAATCAACAAAACTCACCAACGTCAGTAACATAACATTGTATCATAGCTGGATGATTGTCATACTCGATTATGAGTGACAGCAAAGTAGAAGCAGTAGTACAGGCGAGGTGGATACCAGCGAAGTAAAAAAGATTCGACGGTCCATTACGGCAGAACAGCAGCACGGCCAAAGTGATAAGTTGCAGCAACTGTTGCTGCAAGTACCAGAGAATTTGAAGAAAAAGTAGCTATAGCGGCGAGGTGGGCGCCTCGAACTGGTTTACTATGTTACCGATAAGGGCAAATGGTTTCAGTCTCAATAAACAAGAATTTACAGATGCCAATGCTTTAAGGTACAATAAGCCAGTACAAGGTTTGCCCCACCCCCCAAATGTGCTCTTCCTGACGTCGATCACGCCATGGTGCAGAGAGGGGGGCTTCATATGCATGGCATATAGTAAGGGATCTCACAGCAAATGTGTTGAAGGAAATCTGCCGTGATGTCAGGTAGAACCGACTCCTCCTTCCATTGGGCGGTGAGATCTTCCAACAGTGAGATCTTCAAAAGGACTTCAAACACATCCAAGAAGCCGTGTTGGCGTCAGTGCTCGAGATTCAAGGCGGGGGACAATGAGCCTCTTCGAAATCAGGATTTTTTATCCCATGGCGCAATATCACCGGAATCAGCTCTCGGCTGCACAGAGGAACGAATGACAAGATAAGGGCATATGGGAGATAATTCAGAACGTTGATCAAGGCAGATTCACTTCTCTAGTGTTTACAACCTCTGGTGGAGGAACAAGTGCAAGATGCTTCTACACCAGATCATGGAGGTGCTATCCGAACAGCAGCAGGGCCAGTTGTTGTTACAGCTTGGATGAGATGTCGACTGTCCTTCTCTCTCCTTAGGTCTGCTTTGCTCTGCCTCAGGGGAACAAGAGCATCGGCCCCAAAGCCAACAACAGTTGCAGATATTGACTACAAGGCAACAGTCACTGAATGCAGCATAGATCTGCGACTCAACTAACTCAACACAGCTAGGATAGCTACTTATGTAGTAGGATATTTAATTTAAAGGTAATAAAATAGTACCACTACTTTACCAGGTACTGTACCACTACTACTACAAGGTACTGTACCATTACTACTACTAGGTACTGTGTTACTACTACCAGGTACTATATTACTACTACCAGGTACATTGTACTTACTACTGTGCTACTACCAGGTACTGTTAACTACTACTACCAGGTACTGTGCCACTACTACTACCAGGTACTGTGCCACTACTACCAGAACATTGTACCACTACTACTACCAGGTACTGTGACCACTACTACTACCAGGTACTGCCATTACTACTACCAGGTGCACTGCTGCATTACTACTACCAGTGCTGTGCCATTACTACTACCAGGTGCACTGCCCTACTCTACTGGGTGCTGTGCCTACTACCAGGTGCTGTGCCATTACTACTACCAGGTACTGTGCCATTACTACTACCGGTGCTGTGCCATTACTACTACCAGTGCTGTACCACTACTACTACCGGGTGCTGTGCCATTACTACTACCAGGTGCTGACCTTAACTACTACCGGGTGCTGTGCATTACTACTACTGGTGCTGTGCCATTACTACCGGGTGCTGTGCCATTACACTACTACCAGGTGCTGCCATTACTACCAGGTGCTGTGCCATTACTACTACCGGTGCTGTTGCCATTACTACCGGGTGCGCACTTCCTACTACGGTGCTGTGCCTACTACTACCGGGTGCTGTTCCATTACTACTACCAGGTGCTGTGCCATTCTACTACCAGGTGCTGTGCCATTACTACTACCGGGTACAGCACCTTGCCTGCCATTGTACTACCAGGTGCAGCACCATTACTACCGGGTGCACCATTACTACCGGGTACAGCACCATTACTACGGGTACAGCACCAGTTACTACGGGTACAGCACCATTACTACCGGGTACAGCACCATTACTACCGGGTGCAGCACCATTACTACCGGGTGCCAGCTTTTACTACCAGGTACAACACCGTTACTACCGGGTACAGCACCATTACTACCGGGTACAGCACCATTACTACCGGGTACAGCACCATTACTACCGGGTACAGCACCATTACTACCGGGTACAGCACGTTACTACCGGGTACAGCACCATTACTACCGGGTGCACATTACTGTACAGCACCATTACTACCGGGTACAGCACCGTTACTACCAGGTACAACACCGTTACTACCAGGTACAGCACCTTACTACCGGGTACCTTTACGGTGCAGCACCATTACTACCAGGTACAGCACCTTACTACCAGGTCACCCATTACTACCAGGTACAGCACCATTACTACCAGGTACAGCACCATTACTACCAGGTACAGCACCGTTACTACCAGGTCACCGGTACAGCACCATTACTACCAGGTACAGCACCAAACACCTAAGTTAAAACAGTGCTCAACTCACCTCTCATCCTCATCACCATCAGATCATCAAACAGGTTGGATGGTAACTTTCATTATCTTCTTCTCCATCCTCACCATCAGCAAACTCTAAGAGACATTGAAGTCACCTCCCATACCTGCACGAATATTGTTTGTGTATCTTTATTGCTTTAATATAGACTAACAACAACTGACTTAATTGTCAAGTCTTAAATAAAACAACAAATTGTAACAAATAATTACACAAAAATAAATAAATAAATAAAAAAAATAAAAATTGGGGAAACAATGACTCATATTTATGTGATACTATATTAAAATTCAAGCATCTACAACAATATATAACAATATAGTAATGGATAACAAGTGACTGGTGTAAGAGGGAAGCACTTCACCTATAAGTCTTACCCAATAGGTCGTCATCTTCCATGCTGGTGAGATCCCCAGGAGCAAGATCCTCCAGGTCGTCTCCTTGACACGTCGTTGTCTGAGACGGTGTTGGCTGCGGTGTTGGGGTCTGTTGTGGTGGATGTTGTTGCTGTTTTTGCTGTTGTTCTTCCTCTAGCTGCTCCAATTCTCGAGTCACTGCCTCGGGAAGTTCGGACTCTGACTGCTGTTGTTGTTGTTGCTGCTGCTGTTGTTGCTGCTGCTGCTGCTGCTGTTGCTGCTGCTGCTGTGGTGGCTGGGTTGATTGAGGGTGAGCTAATGGCGGATGTGGTTGCTGAGGATGCGGCTGTTGTGGATGTGTTTGCTGTGGATGTGGTATTTGTGGATGAGGCTGCTGAGGGAGAGGCTGTGGTGGATGATTTTGTTGTGGATGAGACTGCTGTGGATTTGGTGGCTGAGATAAAGTTGAAGGATGATGTTGTTGAGGATGAGAAGCTGAAGGGTGTGTCAGTGGCTGTGGATGATGGGTGGGAGACACGACAGGAACTCGGACAGCATTACCGGGAGGTAAATGGGGAGAACCCAAACCTTGGCTCACCATAACAGTTGCTGGAGGACCTCTGACCACATTAGTTACACCCGGACGTATTCCAGGACCAGCAGCACTGATGTACTGCTGGGGTGCCGCTGCTGCACAAGGTGGTTAAAGGGATCTAAGGGTTACGACCACCAACAATAGCTTGTCGCTGAGGTTGCTGTTGTTGCATACTTCGTTGGTGGAGCATTATTCTAACCCTTGGATCTATTTGACCAACTTGGGGTGAGACAGGATGTGTCATCATGCTTGGCTGACCTGGAGCCATACTGGGCCTCATACGGGTAGCTTGACCCTGTACAATTGGTGGCAGAGGTGGACGAAATTCGCCAGAAAGTCCCGTCGGAGACGTCATGGGTTGTGGTATTCCTGTTTGATGAACTCCGCCACTGTCACTCCAGGGCCTCTGGAGTAACTCTCGAAGGTGCTGCTGCCGTGTGGGGTCTCCCGGGATGCTACCTGGAGGTGGTCCGGGTGTTGGAGGCTGCCCGTAACGTCATCGTGGGGGCCGAGGTGGGTGAGCCTGAACATATGGGGATCCGTTGGTTGAGAAAATGAATCTGCTGGTGTACTGCATGGTGTGAAGGGATCAGAGGGGAGGGGCCTTGGAGGAGCAGGCTGAGGGGCATAGGGGTCTAATGGTCTAGGAGTGGGCGGCGGCATCACGTCAGGTCACTTACGACAGGTCGCGGTGTTGCTGGTGCTATACTATAAGGATCTGTGGAATGGGGTCTTGGAGAGGGTGGCACTCGTGAGTAGGGGTCACTCGTGGGTGAAGGTAAAGGTGATGTTTGGGGTGTTGGAGTTAGTGGTGGATGTGTATATGAATCTGATGGCTTGTTGGGGTGAGGAGTTCCTGGAGGCAAGACATAAGGGTCATTCAAGCTCTGTGGATGGCTTAAAGGCCCTCTCAGCATGCCATGAGGGACGCCTTGTCTCATGGGTGAACCTGGTGGCATCTGAGGACGTTGCGTGATCATCATGGGTCGCGGGGGTGTCAGTGACGGCAAAGGAGGGCGAGGAGAGGCATGTGGGGTGTTGACAGGACTAGGATCCGTGTTGGCTCCGTCGTGCACGCTCCCCGGGGTGCCCGCTGAGCTGGGTGTGGAAAGACTTCCATACTTTCACTGCTCTTCAATGCCCTCTGTTGCTCCTAAATAAATAGCAATAAAAAATTAGTAACTGCACCTAGTCAATTTGGGGGGCATATTACACATCATTCTATAAACTCTTATTAAAATATAACCCAATATCTAGGAATGATCTATAATAATATTTACATACACATACATAGAGAACAACATATATGGTAATAAGTATGCAAAAAAATCCTTACTACTGTAGTGCTAAACTTCAACAATATTAATCACACAGAGGCAGTGGACCAGGTACAGTTTTTTCAAACCATCTCCCCATCTCTCCCTGTACATATGACACCCATAGTGGGCTACCTGAAACCTGAGGCTACTTTATACACTAATAACAGTTTCCATTAGTCGAGGGTATATGTGTAATCCTGAACTGGTTATTGTACAGTTTGTACTTGACACCTTGATTTTTTCGTGGGCACAACCCCAGAACAATAAGCAACAGTGTTATACTGTATAGTACAGTACAGTACAGTACAGTACAGTACAGTACAGTACAGTACTGTGCAGTCAACACTCACTTTATGCGGTCCCACTTTACGCGGTACCCTGCCGAAACCGGCATGCTCACTTTCACGGTGTGTGTACCCTTTTACGCGGAGAGCAGCGTGAGCAGGGTGCGCACAAGGTAACCCAGTCATCAAAACATTGCCGAGTTCTTCACCCGCCACCCACCACAGCCAGCCCAAGTCAGTGATAGTGATAATGATAGTGAGGATATGGACTTATATGGAATTTGAAGGGTTTGACAAAGAGGCCTGCAAGCCTCTGTGGTGGATAGTGGTACAATGATACAAGTGACACAGGTGAGGGCCAATAATCTGCCCTCTGCCTCGGAACCAACCCCCATCCCGTGTGCCCAGCCATCTTTTCTCTGACGTAAGTGTTAAAAAACCCTAATATTATTGATATTTCTCTTAATTATTAATTGTGTGTGCATACCATCATAAAATTAAGAAGTTATTTTTACTACAATGTAGGTATGTGTCTGAAAAAGTGGAGTTTGGGGTCGGCCGGTCTCTATTTCAATTAATCCCATATGTTATGTTGTTCACTTTACGCGTTTCTCACTTTCTGGCGGGCCCGTGGGTTCAATTGACCGCTTAAAGTGAGGGTTCACTGTACTGTATAGTATAGTATAGTACGGTACAGTACAGTATAGTATGGTACAGTACAGTATACTATGGTACAATACAGTACAGTACAGTACAGTACAGTACAGTACAGCACAGCACAGCACAGTACAGTACAGCACAGCACAGCACAGTATAGTATGGTACAGTACAGTATAGTACAGTACAGTTTAGTATAGTACGGTACAGTACAGTACAGTATAAGTCACGGTACAATTACAGTACAGTATAGTATGGTACAGTACAGTATGGTATGGTATGGTACAGTACAGTACAGTACAGTACAGTACAGTACAGTACAGTACAGTACAGTACAGTATAGTATGGTACAGTACAGTATTACAATACAGTACAGTACTTGACGGTACAGCACAGTACAGTGCGATTACAGTCATTAGTATAAAGGTACTGATGCGATTTGGCATAGTACAGTACAGTACAGTACAACGTACAGTAGAGTACAATAGAGTACAGTACAGTATAGTACGGTACAGTATAATACAGTACAGTAGAGTACAATAGAGTACAGTACAGTATAATGCGATTACAGTATATCTGGTACAGTACAGTACAGTATAGTACAGTACAGCACAGTACAGTAGAGTACCGTACAGTATAGTACAGGACAGTAGAGTAGAGTACAGTACAATATCTGGTAGTACAGTATAGTATAGTACAGTACAGTACAGTACAGTACAGTACAGTCCAGTATAGTAAGGTACAGCATAGTACGGTATGGTACGGTACAGTACAGTACATTACAGTACAGTATAGTAAGGTACAGTATAGTAAGGTACAGTATAGTACAGTGCAGTGCAGTGCAGTACAGTACAGTGTAGTATAGTACAGTAAAATGGAAAATCCGGGGATGAGGGATTTTTCCCGGCTTTGAGTGTCGTCTCGTTGCCGAAGTGTTCTGCACCAATTGTTCCAGATAACGGAGATATCACTTACACCACCACGGCTTATATCTCACCCACACCACCCTGGCTTATATCTCACCCACACCACCCTGGCTTATTTCTCCCCCTAAGTGTAACTGCTGACTAAAAAAGCCCTCCCCCCTCCAAGGTTCAATAGCTGAAACACACTTACAGTAACTCCCCCCCTCTTGTGTTCATAGGAAAATCCAGATCACAAATAATCAGGCTAATGGAAAACTTGGGAAAACAAAGGTCGCCATAACATAATTTGCAAGAGTAAAAATAAAAAATAAAATAAATAGATAAAAAAAAACCAGTAAAATACAAACAAGATCATTTATGGTGGAAATTTCAGTTACAGTAGAGGTTCAATGCATAAGCTCCAGCCCAAATTGTCTCAAAACAAGACCTTCATGTGAATACTGCATGTCTCTCTTTTGTGGATGAGAAAATGAACGTACACTCACTTTCCCTCCCTCATTTCAGAGAGACCAGATCTACCGATGTGATGACAAAAATAAATATGCACCTTTGAATCACTAACTTTATATTAATCACTGTACACCACTGGTTGATTTTTTCAAGTCACTTTTCTCCATCAAGACTTTTACAGACACACCTTTCTCCTGGACTGCTAGCTTGTCCTTCACGCTAGACTCCCGTCTGGTCTTCTACCGACTTCCTTTTAAACTTATCTCACATTAGGACGCCGTGGTAATTATTCCACAGTCACAAATAGTCCACAGGAGTTAAGAGATGCACACATGAAGGCTGTAGCAGTGCGACCGGTTTGTAAATAAAGTGGCTGGGGCTGGCCTTCGTGTGCGCCAGATGGGAATCCGGATTGCTATCTGGATTTTTCTAGGTTAATCCAGACTTTTACCGGATTAAATAAACCCCCTCTGGAAATCGTTTTTATCGAATACACTTGATATGGACTGGATTTCCCCCCAATAAGTCCAGATTAAAAGAGTAGAGTTGTGGAAAAAAGTATTCAGCAGAGGTGGTGTATGGGAAGGCAGGGATGTAGGTGGAGACTTGGCAGCGTTTCGGGGTGGCGGTGAAAAGTCTCCTCGGATAATAAACTTTTTAAGTTGTTTTGGTGTATTAAGTTATTTAGCACATTAATAGTGTAAGCTGGAACTGTTTCATAATTAAATAAAAAAAAATTAATTGGTGGTATGAAAAGAAAATAGCAGATTTTGTGACAAGTCTCCACCTACCCTATTCTCTCGCCCTTTCAAATTCTTTTTGTGCACAAATGTCCAGGCGTCAATTAGGGTTATTCCACTACAATAAGAAATTTTTGAAATTATAAACTTTCATTCTAGCTACTAAAGTAAACATGATTTAAAAATATATTCCAGTTTAAAGAATATTTACTGTATTAGGGTTTCTGAACTCTTTAAAGCCTTTTCCTGTTCAAACACAAGACGCACGCAGGCAGGCAGGCAGGCAGGCAGGCAGGCAGGCAGGCAGGCAGGCAGGCAGGCAGGCAGGCAGGCAGGCACACACACACACATCTCATAACGCAATCTGTGAGGGAGTTACTACACTACGTGTCTGCTGTTCAACACCGCAGCTCACATGATCTACGTGTGTAAACATTAATCTGTTCCTTTACCTTTCTCTAATGAAGTCTTTTGTTAAACAATGTATGTAATAAGTCATTTATGTCCAATGTATATTTTCAGCCTTCGGGCTGCAGAACTTTTGCAATAAACCGTTTATTATTAAAAAGAAAAACACATGCCTTGCGATAGCACACACACACACACACACACACACACACACACACACACACACAGTAGGGTGGGATATATCGCGAGATAGGGTCCAACGATGTTAAGCTGTACAGTGTCCCTCGGTTAACGAGCACAATTCATTCCAGCAGGTTGCTCATTAACCGAAAACTTCGTAAACGAAACCATTGTTTCAATGGGTTTTGAGTAGTGGTTCCAGCTCACGAAAATTGCCTAAAATCAACAAAAAGGTAGTAATCAGTCAACCCTCACTTTCTGGCGGTCCACATTCAGCGTTTCCACGTTTCGCTGCGATTGCCCTGCCAGAACCCAGGATGCTCACATTCGCGGTGGATGTACCCTTTACCGGTGAAGTATAATTTTTTAATTTAGCTCATAAAATTCATACAAATTATCCGACCAGAATATAATTTACATTGCTGGAATTCTTACAATTTGATGATCATTTTGAATATAAACATCATAGATTTTGCATTAGACATACAAATTTTAGATATAATGTTTACTCTTGAGTAAATATGTTATCTTTTGTGCAAAATATATGATATTTATATTAAAAATATTCCTAGTCTTACAAGGAATCCAGCAATGTCAATTATATTATCCTAACTTTAGTCTGATTTATTATTTATTACTAAAAAGGTAAACAGTCTGGTATTCCCACACATTTATCTAGTAGGGACGTTGGTGGGGGTGGGGGGAGGAGGGAGGGAGGACCGACGACCCGACCATCTGTTACCGTGTGAAGAATATTTTTTTTATTAACTGAAGATATTTGTTTTAGCTCATAAAATTCATACAAATTACCCGGCCAGAATATAATTTACATTGCTGGAATTCTTACAATTTGGTGATCATTTTGAATATAAACATCATATATTTTGCATTAGACATAAAATTTTTAGATAAAATGTTTAATCTGAGTAAGTATGTTATCTTTTGTGAAAAATATATGACATTTATATTCAAAATATTCCTGGTCTTACAAGGAATCCAGCAATGTCAATTATATTATCTAACTTTAGTTTGAGGTATTATTTATTACTATACCTGGGTTTCCCCAAAATTTCTCAGAGAGGAGAAGAGCGGCAGTGTAGTGTGAGAGGGAGGGAGTCGTGTCCATTATTTGAATGGACATTAACTGGCGACTGTATTTCTCTATTTCTCTTAAGTATTAATTGTGTGC